GTTTACCTTTAATATGGAGGTACTTCAAGCGGATCGCTCAGAATATAGGGTCTACAAGGTCTAGGTTTTGGAGCTTGAATAGTCAAATCATATGCTGGTCGTGCCTTTTACAAAAGATGTGACTGTGAAATGAGGGTCTCAATGGAAAGATGCCTTTCACGGCTAACGGCCGGTTACATTTTTTGGCCATTTCATACGGCTAGTGCTAATTTTTTACAGCTTTATTTTTTAAGGACTCACGGTTAAAATTTGTCAGGTTTTGCACCTAATGGCTAATTTTTCTCGTTTTACGGCAAACAGTTATCCCCATTGAGAACCGCTAAAATCTAGCACCTGGGCCGGTCATTTGAACATGATTTTGGCCCAGGGGGCTGGAACCAATCTTCAAAAGTTTAAAATTCCTGAGGGGAGGCAATGCTGAAGCCTTGAATTGATCAACACATCATTTTTTATTCTAGCATAATACTTTCAGTATCCAAACAATATCATCGGTTTGATAATCACCGAGCAAAACCGTGCCACATTGTTTTGTTTTACTCACGACTGAGTCTTATGATTCTAATGAACAAGTTTTTTTAAAGTGTTTTTCTCACGGTCGAAAAAAACCGCAAGAAAGGAACAATCAATTGTGATTGAAAATATTTCGACCTTGCGCGACAAACGCTTGAGTATGTTGAATTCATAGTAGTGTTGTAGAGCGTTTTCAAGGCTCGATATTTCAAGCATTTTTAGGTTTGCCTTTTGTTTTTCTCTCCACCACTTCTGGAACTTTAGCTTTGAACAATGGCGAGCAACTTAACATTTCTCCGTTGGCCATCTATAACTTCCCTTGCAACGTTAGCTTCATTGGAATGGAGACTAGTTTGGGCACTTGTCCCCAAAGACTAATGGTGTCATTACCTTTATTTTCAACGGACACACTTTCTTATGTTCAGTGGGATCCCAACTCAGATGATTTTCCTACATTGAAGTTACATCATAAGTCATTGACCATCCCACCACCTATCTTCT